AAAAATGCAAATCGCTAGCGGGTTTGCCTGTTCAGACAAAACAGGGCAAAACAGAGACGCAGGCGGGCTCGGGGCACACCCGGCATCGCCGACAACAAAAGACAAAAGAATTAGGAGAGGGTGGCGCCTAACCACTCCTCCTTCTTGGCCGTGATGCGAGCCATCAAGGCCGCGACGCGGTTCCTCGTAAGACGGCAGCGCGGCCCGGGGCGGCGGAGAGACTGGAGGCTCCCGCGGCGGCGCGGGTCCTACCTGCGCCGCTGGGGGGCCGCAAAGCTGCCTGGCCCTCAGGGCTTCCCTGGCCTGCTGCCTGGCGACTGGTCGAACCTCGACCCTCGAAAAGGGAATGGCCCGATCCAAGGTTGACCTGAGCCTCGGGTTGGGTCTAAGACCTCTGCGCAACGCTTGAAGGATCTCGATTATTTTCCGAGCGGGAGGGAGGCAGACGCGGGCCAGCTTCGAGCCGCGCCCTTGGGACCTCCCCCCGCACTTCGCACACAGAAACTGCCGAGCGTTCCCCTGGGCCCCAGGGATTTCACAGCCACCACCAATCACCGAACCCTGACCGCAACAACCTGGTGACCCTTGGAGCCCCTGAAGAGCTCGGGAGGAAAGGAGGGGCACCCATCGACGGCGGAATCCCAGGAGCGTCGCCTTCGGAACACTTTTTGCACTGGAGCCCAACGCGACAGTAACCCCAGTCGTGGAAAATACTCGCACGCCTGACCTAGGAACGCCTGTCTCGATGGAGCCTGGGCCACCTCCTCTCATGCTAGGAGCATGGTAGCACTGCAGCTGCGAGCTTGATGAAACTGCCTGCTCTGCTCTGAGCCAGGACTGCAGCCTGGAGAAAGCTGGGATCAGGGCCCTGAAGCATGGCAAGTGCTATAAAGGCAAGGGCATCAACTGCTGTATTCGCAAATGCAAACCTATCTTCATCACCTGTGAAGTCTCAGTGGCCTCATCCGGACGGGGTGCCTTCACATGTTGATTTCCAGTAACGTTTGCCGTGCCAGGGAGAGACTGCGCAAACATGCGGACAGCAGCATACTGTTTCGAAGAACGGATCTGCGCTTCGAGACTCTTTGGTCCCTGATTGACTACGGCCATGTAGTCAAGGCGGATGTGAGTCGTTCTGTCAGATATCTGACCTGCGGGGGCAGACGCAAGGTGTTCAGCAAGGGCACGGGCCCAAGGGAGGGAGCCTGCAACACGGCCTCGAAAAATTACTAGGGGCTCTCCACTCTCCGGCCTCAAGAGACAGATCGCCCACGCAGCCCCCCGAAGGCACCTGAGCGGCTGTTGTGTACACGAGCCACCCGCTGCTAACTCCATCAGCGGGGCCTCCCCCAGAAGCTGTCCCACCTGCTCAACAGAGTTAAGGACCCCTTCGCCATTTCCCCAAACAACGCAACACACACACACACACACACGCACCCGAAGCACTAGGATCATAGGCGAAGAGACCCCTCGTAAAAAATCAAATCGTCGCTGTCTCTAGCTGTCTGGAGGACATCGCTCGAAACTTCTGCTGCGTTGCGAGCAGAGACTACCTCTGGAAGCGTGCAAAAGTACAAACGATGATGCGAAGCGTCGGCCCGCCCGCATCTGCATCTGCCCGTGGTCTGGTATCCAACGGAACGGCCTCGCCCTTCCGTCCACACGGCATCGCAGGCGCAGCACCGTATGAGAAAACGCTGATAATGTGTCATCAATGTGCTGGTCCTCGCACAAACAAGGCCCCGAATTCAATCAAACGTTGCACAATACTGCTCTGGGAGGTCGAGCTTGCGCGCTTAAGCTTTTTCATGCTGACGCTGCAGCCCTACCTCGAGCAAATCAAAAAGAAGTGCTGGGGTCAGCTGTCCGACTTGCACTTCGAGGCCGCTGTGGAGCTCTTCAGCCTGCACGTCGAGCTGCGAGACATGCTCTGGAGAGGGGCCCTCTGCTCGAGTGCCAGGACCCAGGATTGCTCGCCTTAGCCTCGCGCCACATTCTGCACAGCGAATCCAGCGACACTATGCTCAATCAGCGCTCGATTAAGACAAGACAGCCATACCATACGACACCACTGCAACGCGGGAGCCAACGCTGATCGAGCACTTCCGTCTCCGAAGAGAACCATCTTAGCTGACAGACTGGTGCCGCCGTGCTGCGGGGAGTGGACGCTGCTCTTGAGCTGCCGAAAACTCAGCCACTAGGCGTCGCTAAGGCCCAGTACCTCGGTTCCGAAAGACACTCCCGCTTGCGAAACCTCGTGTGCTGCTTGGCTCTGGCTCCGACTCTAACTCGCTTAGCTGCACATGATTGATCTTCTCGTGGGTAAGTTACACTGCTGAGTTCGGCCTCCCGAGATAATCCGAGCCTTCGATACACTTCGTGTGCCAAACCAGCTGCATTGGTGACGACTGCGACCTGATCGTGCAGGCTAGCTTGCAGCTGCTGCACGCACAGTTAAAATCTCTGCCTGCACTGATGGCCATACGCTCAATGATTTCCCGATCTCTGCTGGAAACACCTATGACAGCGTTACCGGTGCAGCTAAGACAATCAATGATTGCCTGTCGGACGAAGAGTTGATCACACTCCTGCACAGCATGAATATTGAGCGATATGTCGTTAAACAACGTCCCCTGCGGGTAGACCCGCTTCGGCAAAAAGAACTCTCTGAGCGTGGTGTTGTCCTACGCGAAGGAGCCTGGGACCTCTCCACACATTATAAACCAGCTTCAAAAACAGAGCTGTACCCCAAACTGCAGGAACTTCTGGCGAAGCACTGTTAGGGGGATCGTCTCGTAATACTTCGAAAAATCGGCGACAGGTAGCAAATTGAACCTTTCAGGTTCGTTGTCGCACGCACTCCGTGCTGCTTGGAGCCACGCGCAGTCCACTGCTGACCTTCCCTTGGACGCACCCCAGTAACGACGATCGACAAAACGACTCACCTCGGTCAGCAGTGGACGCCGTGCTCTCTGCCACAGTCTGTACATGCCAGCATAGGGTACTATTAATGTATTTTGCCCTGTGAGCTTGGGGAGCATGGGTTGGATGTCCCAAAGGAGCTGGCGCGGCAAAAGTCCGATTACTTCGCAGGCTTGCCACAAAGCGCCTGAGACCTCGAGGCCTTGGTCATCGAGGGCCAGCACAAATCTCGGGTGTAAATGGTCAGCACTGCTAGAGGTGTCGCGCGGAAAACTTCGCCCGACCTCTCATATCGCTGTAACCGAAACTCGTTCACAAGACGAACGATCGGGAACCCAAGCCCTAGGAGCCTCAGAGGCCGCACCCCAGAGCATTTCATACAGCGATACGTCGTGCTTGACTATGTTAATCATGTCGGCTTTCGGTCCAGTGGGCCCTTGAACGATTGTGGCGGCTCTGACTTGACGGACACCGGTGATAATCCTGGAGTGCATGAGGGTCGATCGGAGAAGGAGGAGGCGGAAGATGAAGAGGAAGAGGAGGAGGATAAGGAGGAAGAGGGGGAGGAGGGAAAGACGGAGGAGGAGGAAGAGGAGGAAGTGGAGGGGGAGCGAGGATGATGATGAGGAGGAGGAGGAGGAGGAGGAAAAGGAGGAGGAGGAGGAGGAGGAGCACGAGGAGGAGGAAGAAAAGGAGGAGGAGAGGAGGAGGAGAAGGAGGAGGAGGAGGAGGAGGAGCAAAGGGAATGCAGGCGGAGGCAAAAGGGCCTACGCCCGCCCTGCCAGGAGCAATCACCGCAGCCCAGCCCCTGGCGCAGTGAGGCGCGTTTTGCTGACATACAGTCGAGGCGTTGGCCGAAGGAACCCTAAACAAGGAACGAGGCCCTTTTTTTCCATGAGTATTCCGGAGCCCAGACCGCCCAAGACGGCCCCAGAGCTCCCTAGGACACGCCAACAGGCCCCTAAGAAGGCTCCAAGACGGCCCCAGAAGTGCCCAAGACGGCCCAGGAGCGCCACAAGACGACCCAAATCCAGAGCCCAGACCGCACAAAACGGCCCCAAAGACAGCCAATATCACTAAATCCGCGGCCCCCCGGATCGGCGGCACTGGCCGGAGGCCGTTACAATGAGGAACGAGGCCCCTTTTTTCCATGAGTTAACCTTCAATTTCCGATCGAAAACAGAAGGGACCCCTGAGTCAAGCTGTGAAACACTTGAGGAACGCGGAGCCCCTCCCCGACCCAACAGGGTTCCTTCTGCAGGGCCCCGACTTTACGCTTGCTTCGGGGAAAAGTCCAGGCCGCGGGCGCTCCGTCGGCCAGCAGCTGGCCCCCTACTGGCTCCGCCAGGGGCGCCGACGACGCCGACGCAGCTCCGCCGCACCCGGCCCCGGTCGTCGTCGAACGGCGGTATGGCTGAGGTCAGCGTACTCGAGACGATTACTGAAATCGAATTCCAGAAAGGTAGCCCGTCTCCATAAACAGGGATACACCGACAGGCCCGGCCGACCAGCCGGAAAGTTCGAATTTCGGCTCCAGGGCGGGCGAAGGTAGCCCGTCTCCAGGAGAGGAAAGGGGGAGGGGATGATCGGAATTGGAACGGGGTGTCCCCAAGGACCGAGGAAGAGATGAGGGGGGTCCAGGGGGGGAGCATAGCGTGTCCCTCGCGACGCACTCCCGATGCCTCATGCTGGGGGGGGGCCAAAACGCCGCGGTGACACGGACCGTGCGGCGACCTCGAAGCCCCAGGAGACCTCACAGTACGGTCCGTCACCGCACGACTTTGGGACCTCGGCGGCCAGCCCGCTCAGCGCGACCACAGGCCAGCCCGCGTCGGCCCCTGGCGTCGGACGGAAGCAAGCGCCTGTTGGCCCAGGAGGTTGAGCCGCGGGGGCCCACGGCGACGCTGCCTCACCTGCCGTCGCCGTCGGTGCCATCGTCGGCGTCGCCGCTGTCGGCGCCATCGCCGTCGTTCTCGTTCTCGTCCTCGTCGATGGCGTCATCGTCCTTGTCTTCGTCGGCGTCGGCGTAGTCGTCGCCGCCGTCGTCCTCGACCTCATCGTCGTCGGCGAGCACCCGCCTTCTCATCCCGGCTGAGCGCCTTGAACATGGAAGACGGTCGCTCCTGCCAGACTGGCGGGGCGGGACGGCCCCCCCACCCACACACACACACACACACACACACCACCACACACACACACACATACACACACACACACACGCTCATCGTCCTCCTCTGCCTTTCGAGACGTCCCGGGATCCCCATTCACCAACTCCCACTGCACCCATCGCTCACATCCGCCACCTGCTCCACATCCTCCCCCCTCATCTGCCCCCCCCCCGTCCTCCTCCACCTCCTCCTCCGTCCTCCTCAACCTGCCCCGCCTCCGCCCCCGCCCCCCCCCCGCGTTTCCTCCTCCTGCTCTTCCGCTTCCGCCTCCTCGTCCTCCTCCTCCTCCTCCTCCACCTCCTTCTCCTCCCGCCTCCCCCTCGTCCTCCTCCAACACCTCGTCCCCCTTGTCCTCCTCCACCTGTCCCGCCTCCGCCCCCCCGGCGCCATCCCCTCCGCTTCCTCCTCCTCCTCCTCCTCCTCCTCCTCCTCCTCCTCCTCCTCCTCCTCCTCCCCGCTTCCCCATGGATTAACTCCTCCATGTCGCACCCCGAAGCGTGTCGGCACGGCGGGCCGGGAGTCTCGCCTGAACCTTCCTCGCCAAATGTGGTCCTGCGGCTGACAGGTCGCAAGAGCTTTACGGATGCAGGGCGCACCGTTCTCGGGATGTGGCTCTCGCCTCTGCGCTGCGCGCGCTCGTCTCAAATCGGTGTGCGGGAGCTTCACGGATGGAGAGCGGCTCGTTTTCAAAGCGTAGCTCTCGCTCGAGCGCCGCGAGCATTCGTCTAAAAGTTCGCAGGAGAGTCTCACGGATGGAAGGCGGGGCCGTTTTCAAACTGTGGCTCTCGCCTTCACGCCGCGCACATAAAGTTTTAGCAGCTTCGCGGATGGATGGCAGCTCATTTTCAATGTGTGGTCATTGCTTTGGCGCCGCGCACATTGGCCCAAAAGTTTGCGAGAGCTTCGCGGATGGAGGGCTGCTCCTTTTCACAAGGTGGCTCTCGCATTAGTGCCCCGCACATTCGATGTACACGTTCAACAATTCCAAAGAGTCTCATGGTTGACGTCCCAGAATGGTATCCCGGAACGGCTTGAGGCCGCCAGGGCGCAACAAGCACGTTAATTCACGCCGTTGACATCCCAAGAACAGCGTTCGGGCACGTCTCAGGACCGCTAGGGCGAACAGCAACTTTGGTTGATTCACGGCGCTGAAATCCCAGGAATGGCTTTTTGGCAGGATTGAAGATTATCAGGCGGTTGTCTTCGAACGGGGCACTTCCCGCAGTGAACACGAATTCCTGCACGGACCTATGAAGAGTGAACTTGGAGGGAGGGTTTACTGCAAAATTGTTGGTGCGCCTTGGGTTTCCACAGATCCTCCTCGTCCTTCTCCTCCACCTCATCCTCCCCGTCGTCCCCCCCCTCGTGCTCTCCCTCGTCCTCCTCCACCTGCCCCGCCTCCGCCCGCCCTGCATGTCCTCCTCTCCCTCCTCCTCCTCCTCCTCCTCCTCCTCCTCCTCCTCCTCCTCCTCCTCCTCCTCCTCCTCCTCCTCCTCCACATCGCCCGTCGTCGGACGACCGCGCCCGTGGGTCCAGGCGGGGAAGAGCACGCGCTGGACTGGGGGACGCACTGCCCGGTGAGCATCGCGGACACGGACATCAGGCAGTGGCCAAAGACCCCTCCCCCGCGAAGGAGCCTACACCCCGCGAAATGCTTAAGAAATCATGGGTTAAGAAATTCATAGTCTCAGAACTTGACTGTTAAAATCTTAGGATTTACGTTGAAACATTAAGAATAATCGAGACCCTGGCCGAAAATTTAAGTTTTCTTAAGCATCGCCTGAGGTGTACGAGCGCAGGGACCGCGTGTCCCCCACAGCAGCAACAGCAGCAGCAGCAGCAGCAGCAGCAGCAGCAGCAGCGGCAGCAGTGCTGCAGTGGCGGGCGCGCCTCGGAGGCGAAAGCGGGCACACTGGAGCTGTCGGAGTCCCCGAAGGGTGCAGCAGTTGATCCCCCACGGAGGGGGAGGAGGAGGAGGAGGAGGAGGAGGAGGAGGAGGAGGAGGAGGAGGAGGAGGAGGAGGAGGAGGTGGAGGTGGTGAGCCGACGTGGGCCGCTCCCTCCCACCCCTGGAGGGCGGGGCACGCCTGGCCCATCTCTGCACCCGCACAGCGCCGGAGCTTGGCTACCCCTTCTCCGACCAGCCATAACTGGGGGAGCTGTGGTCCTTACCCCCCTTGGGGAACCCATCGCATCGACGATCTCTCGAGAGGGGTGTCAAAATCGATGGGCCGCCCAGGGGGTAAGGACCACAGCTCCCCCAAATGTGGCTGGCCTGCTTCTTTCTCCATCCTCCATGGTCACAGGTATCCCCAATAGCGGTGAACATAGCCGTATCCGCGCCCTCGCGGTCTGGATTCAGGGATGCGATCCTGCGGATACGCGGTCGCAGGGTGACGTTCAGCGCGGGGCATCCGCGAAAACACGCCTCGTATGCGCCGGGTCGCGGCCCAGAGGCCCGGCCTGCGAGGCCGCGGATACGGATATGTGTTTCGCCCATGGTATCTGTCCTCCTTGCTTCTCTCTCTCGCTCTCTCTCTCTCGTAATATCTTGGCTTTTGCTCGCCCTCCCCCCCCGATCGCAGGGGGGGGCTCGAGGGCATCGGCGCTTCGACGCACACTCCTCCGCAGCACCGAATCAGCGAGGAGGAGGCGGAGGAGGAGGAGGGCAACAACGACGACGTCAACATATACCGGTGTGACCGGTGTGCACCCGGAGCCCGGCGGGTGGCCCCTGCCCACGCGACCCACAACCTGGCAGGAGGAGTGGCATGAGAAGCAGAGGATGAAGCTGGGGAAGAGGGCGGAAAGGGGCAAAGGGAGGAGCGAGGAGGCGGCAGGGAGGCATCCCCCCCATCCTGATCATCCTCCTCATCCTCCTCCTCTCTCCTCCTCCTCCTCTCTCCTTCTCCTCCTCCCTCCTCCTCCTCCTCCTCCTCCTCCTCCTCCTCCTCCTCCTCCTCCTCCTCCTCCCCTCCTCCTCCCGCCTCCTCCTCCTCTTCCCCCTTCTCCCCATCCTCCTCCCTCTAATCACACTATTCCTCCTCCTCCCTCCCCATCCCCCCTCCTCCTCCTCCTCCTCCTCCTCCTCCTCCTCCTCCTCCTCCTCCTCCTCCTCCTCCTCCTCCTCAATCCCCCCTCGCCTCCCTCCTTCTCCGACCTCCATCATACTTCCTGCTTCGGGCAAGAACCGCCAGGCCTGCCCAGAAGAGGGAGGAAGGAGGACGCTAGCCACCAGGGAGGGACCCGAGGAGATCAGATGACACGCCAGGGGGGCGGCAGAGGAGGCAAGGGAGACAGAGGAGGGAGGAGGAGGACGAGGAGGAGGAGGAGGAGGAGGGAGAGAGGAGGAGGAAGAGGAAAAAGAAAAGGAGGGAGGAGGAGGGGGAGGAGGAGGAGGAGGAGGAGGAGGAGGAGGAGGGGAGGAGGAGGAGGAGGAGGAGGAGGAGGGAGGAGGAGGGAGGAGGGAGGAGGAGGAGAGGAGGAGGAGGAGAGGAGGGCGGAGGAGGAGGAGGAGGAGGAGGAGGAGGAGAGGGGGAGTGAGGAAGATGAGGAGAGGAGGAGGAGGAGGAGGAGTAGGAGGAAGGAGGAGGAGGAGGGAAAGGAGGGAGGAGGGAGGGAAGGGAGGGAGGGGAGGGAGGGAGGGAGGGAGGGAGGAGAGGGAGGAGAGGGAGGATAGAGGCAAGAAGGGACACTGACATGTTGTCAGCAGTTGCCGTGCTCTCGCCGAGGTGCAAGGAAGCAGGGACACGGAAGGAGGGAGAGAGGAGAGGAGGAGTCGGAGGGCCATCGGGCTGCCGAGGCAGTGTCGATCCTTCTCGCGCTTGCCGCGGATCTGCCCGACGGACAGGGCGGCGCCCTGCAAAGGGGGAGTCTGCCGCTGCGGCTCTTCTCCTCCTCCTCCTCCTCCTCCTCCTCCTCCTCCGCCTGCGTCTCCTCCTCCTTCTCCTCCTCCCTTCCCCCTTCTGCTTCCTCCTTCCTCCTTCCTCCTCCCTCCTCCTCCTGCTCATCCTTCCTCCTTCCTCCTCGTGCTCCTCCTCCTCCTCCTCCTCCTCCTCCATTCTTGTTTATGTGATTCTTGGTCACATAATAATCAGAACATCAAAAAACCTGGTCACATCCCAACGCGTGTCAGTCGGGCAGGGCCGGGCGTCTCGCCGGAGACCTTCTCACCATGCATGACCCTTAAGCTGAGCATTCGCATGAGTTTCACAGGTGGAAGGCGGTCCGCTTTCAAACTGTGGTTCTGGCCTCAGCGCCGCGCGCGCTCGTCTTGACAGATTGCAAGAGCTTCGCGGATGGAGGGTGGGCCGCTTTCAGAACGTGGCTCTCGCCCTGGAGCCACGCACCTTCTACTTGAACGTTGCAAGCGTCTCACGGATGGTGGACGGGTCTCTCAGCTTAGCGCCGCGCATACCCTTTTTAAAACAATTGCAGGTGTTTCACACATGGGGGGCGGTTCTTTTTCAAAAGGTTTTTTCAAGGATTCGCACGGTTTCCCCAGAAATGGTGCTTTGGCACGATGTCGGACTGTCAGGGCGCAGCAGAACGTTGATTCGCGGTGTTGAAGTCCCAGGAATAGCGTTCTGGCACGACTTAGGATTGCCAATACGCAATAGTAACGTTGATTTGCCGCGCAGTTCAGGATGTTCGAACGGTTGTCTTCCAACAGGGGTCGAAATTGAGAGGGTGTACTAGGTTCCCATGATTTGCTACCAAAGCTCCAGGAGGCCCCGGGCGAGGCCTTCTCTCTCACCTCCTCCCTCCCTTCCCACCCCGTCCCTCTCCTCTCGACTCTGCGCTAGGAGGCAACTGCTGGGAGGTCTTCGTCGGAAGGATCAGGGAGACTTAAACTCCATTGGGGGGCTGTGACGCCGGATTGGGCCGCGGATTGAGCGGGATGAAGCCAGGAGAAAGCTGGATTTCGGACCAGGGCAGAGCTAGACCTTGACCTCCCAGGAGCTGCATCCGACTCTGCGGGCACGCGCTGCCATTCCTTCCGCGCGCTCCCAGGCTGCCGTGGGCACGTGCAGGACAACTGGAGCCATAATGTTCACGGACAGTCCTGCCGATCATTCGGCGGCGAGCGAGGGGGGGAAGTGAGTAAGGGGGAGGCCCTCTCAGAAGGCGGCGGCATTTCACAGAAGCTCCCTCGCCTTCTCAGAAGTCTTCCGTGTCTTTGGAGAAGGCTTAGGACAACCTCTCGCCCAACTCTGGCCAGGACGCTGCAGGGGCCAGGGCCCTTCGAGGGCGCCGCCCGGAGAAAAAGCACGCAGAAAAGTCGGCCCTCGGGGCCGCCGGAGACCGGGCCGGAGATGGGCGGGGCTGGCCCGGAGGGGCCCAGGGAGGGGTCATTAGGGGGCCACACGCGAACCCTCCCCCTCAGAAATCGTGGGGGGTAGGGGTAGGGTTCGCGTGTGCCCCCCTAGTCATGCTTCGGCGGAGGCGATGCGAACGCCGGAGTCGTGCGCGCTGCCCTGGGATCGGCGGTGGACAAACCTCCCTTTAGTAAACCTTCCCTCAGGGAAAGCAGCCTGGGACCGAACCCCACGGACCTGGGCCCCCGCAACAAAAACGACGGCCTCGACGCCTCCTCTCGCGAGCCGAGAACGGCCAGTTCCCTAATCGAGGCGTCGGGGTAGGAGGTCTGTCCACCCCCGATCGGGGATCTTCTGACCCAGGTCAATCCAGACCCGTGTCAGCAGGAAACCAAAAACTGCAATGCAGGAACAAAAAACTGCAACGCAGGTCTTCGCAAACCCGGGTCAGCCAATATGCGCGGCCGGCTCGCGGCCACGAGCGGCTCGCTAACCCGGGCCGGCCAGAGGGGGTCTTCGCAGGATCCTGCAGGATCTGGCGCTCTGGCTGACCCCCGCTTGCACTGACCCCCGTCTCTTAGGCCCCGACCCGAAGGGAGGGGTCCTGCTCCTCGGCGGAGGCGAGGCGAGCGTCTTGAGGCGTGCGCGCCGCCCTTAAGGGCGCCCGCCCGTGCCCCTCGCCGGGCATGGGCGTGGAGAGGCCGGGGGGCTCCCCGCGGCGGGCAGCCTCCTCGCGGAGGCGGAGGCGTCGGAGGAGGCGGGAGGCGGGAGGAGGCGGGAGGAGGGAGAGGAGGAGGAGGAGGAAGGAGGAGGAGGAGGAGGAGGGGAGGAGGAGGGAGGAAGGAGGGGAGGAGGGGGGAAGGAGAGGAGGATGAGGGCGTGGGCGGGGGGTGGGGGGGGGGGCGGAGGGGCGCCGCGCTGCGCCCCCCGCTCGTGCCCCTGCGGAGGAGGAGCCCGCAGGCGCTGCGGCTCTGAAGCGCGCCAGGGCCCGAGCAGCGCAGGAGGCGGCCCCAGCGTGCTGCCGCCGCCATCCCCACCAGGGCAGCGCGGGGGGGGGAGGATCGGGGCTCGAGGCCCCTGGGCGAGCGAGGAGCGGGGCGGGGGGAGCAGAGCGCCGATCAGACTCCTGGGGCACACTATTCGTCGATCTCTGAGAGCCCCGGGGTGCCCCGAAGCTCCTGTGGCTCCAGTGGGGCCATCGGGGGGCAAGAAGTATCCGTGGGGCACCGGCTGGCAGGCCGACATCTTCTCTGGCGTGCCGACTGTACACCTGCACTTTGATCGGGCATGTCCTCCTACAGGCCGATTTGGGAGGGTAAGTCAGAAGAGATAACATACAAAAATATCCAAATGTATTCAACAATGGTCGACAATCGTCCCCAGACTACTTTTCGACTATGTTTGAATATTCCTCTTGTAGGGGGAGCTGCCCGACTTAAACGTATGCCGATCCTGCATGCGGCTGGTTCGTGTCGCCCCGACTTGGAAGCTGTACCATCTTGAGCGACCTCCGCCAACCGACGGCGAAAATCGTCTCAGGATAGCCTTGCGCACGCCTTTGGAGGGCCAACAGCGTCCAGAACCCCCGATCCTCAGTCGTCCAATCGCGGCTACGTTCGAGCTCCTCTGGCTCCGAAGGAAAGGCTCGATTCTCTTACAGCAGCTGTTCCTTTCGCTCTCCAGGTCGACACCTGACCCCCGAGTGGCGCCACCGGGGCTCCCATGCAAGCAATCTGGGAGTTCATGCCCTCCTGCTCTTGAACTTGCCCCCCAAGTTATGTCATGTAGCTAAACGCCCGCTCCCAACTTGGTGGCCTCATGTCTCTTTTCTCGAAGGCCGCAAACAATATACATACGCCTGTATAAGCTGTATCGAAGCGATCGCCCTCGCTGGCTGTACAATGTGTGTTGGCGGGCAGCTACGCAGGTAATGCGAGTAAAAAATCGGTTGGGTGGCTTGAAATATGGTGAGCTAGCCACAAAAACCGACTATGAATTCCCCGGCTATCAGTCCCAGACTGCCCGACACCGGGATCGAGGAATGAAAACCCACGCCTGTCACGAGCGAAACTCGGCGCGGAGCCATTCACAATTTACATTGGGCGGCCTGCAGCGATTCAGACCACGATTCGGATGTAAAGGCGAGAGAACATCGACGGAGGTATGGGTTCCAAGGAAATGGGGGATAGGCTACAGCGTATCGTCTGCCAGAGGCGGGCAATGAGGAGCGCGAGGCTCTCTCGGACCACGGCGCTCTCTCGAACCCTCGCTCGTGCCGCACCACCTCTGAACTCTGGAGGCCGATGTTGAGCAAATCAATACGACGGAACATGATGATAATTGATAATGGCGGAGCAGGCATGCATGAGTTGGCTACACGCAAAAGTTACCCTGGTAAGAGGGACCTTCCATGCACGGCTCTTTGGGTCCCGCGGGGGGGGGGGGAGAGGGGCAACCCCAAGCGCGAAAGATGGTACTGCCGCATCGCGTTCGGCGATCGGGGGACCCCATGTGGGCCCGTACCAAAAGTCTCTCCGGCGAAAGTCACTCTTACGTGTAGCCGACACTGGCGGAGCAGGCATGCATGAGGAATCTCTGGCGCGAGTGCCTGAGCCGATTCTGGAGAAACAAACAAACGTCGCCTGCCCGGTCAGTGAGCGCAGCCTCTGACAGTCTCCCGCCGCCTCAGCTAGCCCGGCTCTCTGCTACCCCTTCCAGGGCCTGGCCGAGGAGGTCCTGGGCACCGGGACCGAGCAACCCAACGCTGAAGCCTGGGCCCTCGTGCTGCACGCCGCGCTGCTCGCAGAACGCGTGGAACCGTCGCTCCAACGCGCGCAGTTCCCGCACGACGCCCTCAACGGCCGAGGCGAAGCCTGCGTTGTCCTGACGATCCGTGGTCACGGCGACCATGAGCGGACACGGAGCCTCGCTGGTGCCATTGACCTCGAGGTGGCCGCTGCCGCGGCCGCGGATACGGATCTTGGAGCCGGTGCGCTCCGCGATGCCCCGCAGGGTGGACCCCCCGCGCCCGATGAGACGGGGGACCTGGTCGAACCCGGGGGCCTGCATGTGGAGGTGGAGGTGTGCCCACATGCGCAGCCGCCGGGAGCCCTGCTCGGCAACACGCAAGAGGAATCCCGCGCAGAAGTGGCCTCTGGTGCGCGGCTTCAGGGGTCCACCAGGGGCCAATGCTGGGGGCACCCCTGTGGGCACGCACCAAAGGCCACCCTGGCGAAGGGCAACTCTTGCACGTGTCCGACCTGTGGGCGGCCGCGCCCCGCCGAGACTCCAGTGCCAGGGGCGTGCGCCGCTGCCGAGGCACCCGGCTGGCTCGGGCGCGCCGGGCCGCCACCGCCGCCGCCGCAGGCGCAGCCGCGGCAACCGCCGAGGGCGGCTGCGGGCGCGATGGCAGAGGCCGTGCCGCTGGAGGCGCGGCCCCCCGGCGCCGCGGAGGCCGCGTGGCACTGCCAGGACCCCTGCGCTGCCGCGGGCTCCACGGCGGGCGGCTGGGCGGCGGGCTGGAATGTGGGGGGGAGGCCTGGAGGCGCCGGCAGGTGGGCGCACATGGTCGCCGCCAGCCTGGCCATGTGCGCGAGCTGCAGCTGCCGCTGGCAGGCGGCGACCACCGCGGCAGGGTGCAGGCTCCCGCCGAGAGGCCCCCCAAGCGTGCCTGGGCCTGGCAGGTGCAGCGGGCAAGCACTTGCGCCACAACTCTCCAGCTCGCGGTCGTCTGGTCCACCGATGGCGGCCGACAGAGAGAGGGGCGTGCCCACGCGCTGGTGCGAGACGGCGATCGGCGCGACCACGGCCGCTGGCGAACCGGAGACGGCCAGGTCAGGGAAGGCCAGCGGCGGCTCGAAGTCAACGCGGGGTGGCGCCGGGTGCCACTCCCAGTGCTTCTCGCCCACCGCCTGCTGGTCGGCACTCCACGTAAGGCTGCTGCAAGCTCCTTCGCTGCCCGTGGAGACCTCCGAGTTGGTCGATTGGTCAAGCGCGACTGCCAAATCACTTGCGCACTCGCCCAGGTCGGCCGAGGCCCACCTGGAGGCAGTGCAAGCCGGGGTCGGCGGTCCCGATGCATGCCCAGGCGCACCAAGCTCCGCTGAAGGCCACCGGGACGCGGTGAGGGCGGGCGTGGGCAACGCCCCGAGGTCGGCAGACGGCCAGCGCGAGGCCGTGCCAGCCGGCGTGGCTTGGCCGTCCAGGCCGGCGGACGACCTCGGCGGCCGCAGGGACAGGCGCAGCCCCGGGCGCTTGCCAAGGCCTGCCCAGAACGGCGACTCCTCTCGGGAGGTCAGAAAAGCCTCTTTGCGAGGTCAGCACATCGGCTGCATGCTGCTCACCTTCCAAGCGCCTCGAGCCACCGGGTGCGCCCATGCGTCGAGGGCAGTACTGGGAAGCGTGGCAGAGCCCTGCCTTTCGAACCCCACCCCCACTCAAGGGACCGTTCGCTCCTCCCCGATGCTCACGTAGCACGGCGAGGGACTGCGCGAAGGCGGCCGCTGGCCCAGGCACGCGCGCCCCGCAAACAGGCCCGCGCTCTCGGTCTCGCGGCAGCCGAAAGGCTCGCAATGCGCGTCGCCAGCGCACCCGGGCACGGGCACGCGCGAGCCCCGCACTGGTGGGCGCGGACCGGCCACAGACTCCACGTCAGGCTCCGTGCCAGCCGCCCACGTCTTGGAAGCGCCGAAGGGGCCCGGCGACGGGCAGTCTGGGCTGTCGACCTCGCTTATGAAGGTGTTCTTCACCGTCACCCTGGCGCGCCTGCCCAAACGCTCACCCGCAGGGCCGCCGCCCCTCAAGAAACCAAGTCTCGCAACGCCCAGTACTGCGACTACCGTGTTCCATTGCATATGCGGCGCGGTGCGTTGGTACACGCGCACACACGTCGGTGTGCGAATGTCAGCCAGCGTGGAGCCCAAGCAGTGTGTTTCTAGCTTTATCTAGAATGAGATAACATCACTATGGAACAATCTAGGTCGTGTAAAATGGGTGGTGCAACTTCTGTGGAACAAAATATGTAGTGCACTAAACGTCGTGCAATAGATGTGGTGCACATCTGTATACGGTGAACTGTATGTGGCGCTATATGTGTTGCGCAATAGTTCTGGAACGAACGATGTGGAACACTATGCTTGGTGCTACCCGTGTGGTGCAATCTACGTTGTGCAATGTATGTGGTGCAACCGATGTTGTACAACCTAAGTGGTGTAATCTGCGCGGGGTAACCCATGTGGTGCAATCTTTGTGGTGGCATGAATCCCACCAGCCTTTTCGGGCGTAGGTGGTCTAGAGTTGTTTGTCTTCCATCTGCACCTCTTCCCCTTCGGGGAGGGGTTTATCACTATACCTTATGGATATACACCCCCTCCCCCACCTGGCCGGCGGCCAACCGGGAACCATGCCGACCCCATGCGGGCCCGCCCCCCACCATCCCTTTCAAAAAAACGATACAAACCGCACTCTGCTTTCCACATGTGGAGCATGCGCGGCCAACCCGATGCGACCCCCCCCCACCATCCCTTTCAAAAAATAATGCAAATTACACTCTGGGGCAAAGTCTTGAGTCATGTTCGTGAGGCCCGCGAGCACTTTGCCTTGTTTTTGAAAGGGACGGCGGAGGTGTCAGCATATTCCCTGCTGCGCGCAGGGCTGCCATCCCTGACAAGAAACAATACAAAATGCACCTCGCGACTAAATCTGGATCATGCGCGGCCATCCCGCGATCATTGTCAAGTAGTTTTTGACAGGGACGGCGGAGGTGGTGGCGCGTGGCCTGGTGTGCGCAGGCCCACCAGACACAATGATGGGCATTGATTTTCGACAAAAATAGCGGGGGGCGACATGTTTCCCGATGTGTGCTGTCACGTGCGCAGGCGCCCCTGACGCACTCTGCACGTGCCCCGAACGTGGCGCACCTGGCGCGGCTGGAGTGTGCGGCACACCTGGCGCACTCGGAGCACGTTGCGCATCTGGCTCACCAGGCGTGCCTGGCACGCTCGGGCCCCAGGGGTGCTTGGCGCGCGTGACGCCCCGTGGCGCACCTCGCCCAAGCGTCGCGCACCTGGGGTCGGCTTTGGTTCCCAGTAGCTGCCCATCCAAAAACGACCGCTGAACATGCTCAGGCTCGGGTGTTACTCATGTTGTGGGAGGGCGGGCGGGCGTGCTAGACGGCTTGCGGGCGGGTGGGTAGCTTGATCCCTCCCCCATACCTCCTCCCCTGGACCTGGACATGGGGTCCCCCGAGGGGTTGGGGCGTCCAAGATGGCCCAAGATGGCTCCAAGAGCACCTCGGAGAGTCCAAGATGAGCTCCAAGATGGCTCACCCCAGATGCCTCCAGATGGCTCCCAAGATGCTCCAAGGGGCCCCAAGACCGCTTCAAGACGGCTTTCCGAGTGGCCAAAGAGCTCCCCAAGCAAAACCTAAGGGAAATCAGTGTGTCTTGATTTCTCGCCTGTTCACTCCCGACGGCCATCCGAGGCCTCAAAATGGCTCCAAGATGGCCCAAGAGGGCCCCAGGAGAGACCCAAGAGAGCCCCGAGACGGCCCCCCCCTCGGCTCGCCAATATGCCCTTGCTCCTCCTCCTCCTCCTCCCTCCTCCTCCTCTTCCTCCTGTTCCTCCTCCTCCTCCTCCTCCTCTTCTTCCTCCTACTCCTCCTCACTCCCTCCTCCTCCTCCTCCTCCTCCTCCTCCCCCTCCGCTCCTCCTCCTCCTCCTCCTCCTCCTCCTCCGCCTCCTCTTCCTCCTCCTCCTCCTCCTCCTCCTCTTCCTCGTCTTCTTAGTATTAGTCGCATTCGTCGTAGTATGATTCGTGGAATTATTCTTAGTATTATTACTAGTCTGCTTATTATTACTGTTCGTATTATTATGTCTTATGGTTGGTATTATTGTGCGTATTCTTGTTATTATTAATATTATTCTTATTCGTATTATGGTTATGATTATGCTTAGTCTTAGTATTCGGATTATGTTTCTGCTTCTGCTTATGCTTCTCTTTATTATTTGTATTAGTATTCCTCCTCCTCCTCTTCCCCTTCCTCCTCCCTCCTCCTCCTCCTCCTCCTCCTCCTCTTCCTCCTCCTCATCCTCCT